TTTGTCCCCAGTGGAAAGTGGGTCCTCTTTCCCTTGATGATCCAACAATCACAAACTTCTGCTTATTCTCAGCAGCTGTTAAGTGTGACTGTGTGTATTTATATGTAATGAAACAGCTCCTCTGCAAACAGGGAGAATTTTGTAGAAATGACTGATGTCCCACTCAGCCCTCTCGTGGTTCAGATGTTTTCAGCTGTTTAGTGATTTATGAGTGTCAGTTCAAGTCCAGGATGACATTGTTTCTTTTCTCTGCATGATCACAGTTAAAAAGTAACTTCTTTGTGATACCGCCAGCAGACTGTGTTCAGGGCCAGATTTCCTTTTTTGAGTCATTTGACACCTGTTACATAACATAACATAACGTTTATTGGAAATATTGTTTAAACCTGCACATTTTTTTGTCAGTATTCAGCACTTTCAGTACAAATAGTTTTTATTCTCTGTTGTCATCTTTTGGGCCACATGGTGGAATGGTGGTTAGCACTGTTGCCTCACAAGAAGGTCCTGAGTTTGGCTCCACCCTCTGGCCACAGGTTTTCTGTGTGGAGTTCACATGTTCTCCCCATGTTGGTGCAGGTTCTGCCCAGTTTCCTCCCACAGTCTAAAGACATGCTGTTAGTGGGGTTAGGTCAATTGATGATTAAGCAGTGAATGGTTTCCTGTCGGTGTGTTAGCCCTACATCAGATTGGCAACCTGTCCAGGGTGAACCCTGCCTCTCGCCATATGGTAGCTGAGCTAGGATCCAGCCCTCCCAGCAGGAACCCTGATAAGGATAAACAGAAGAGGAAGGATCGATGGATGCACTATATATTTGTAATACTTTGTCATGTAGACAATATGGTGCTTGGAGTCATGCTGTCACAATGTAACTTAATACAGATACATTTTAATATCTAAGCTCTGTGTACTAAAAAAAAACCAAAAAAAAAAGCACATGAACCACTCTAGCACTGAGGCATCAGTTTTTAACTTTCATTTTAACGGTCAACTGGGCAAAAAAACAAAAACTAAAAAAAATTTCATGTGCAAAAGTCAAATCTGATTTTAAAAGAAAAATGTGTAAATTTAGAGTATAAATACTTTTCTTGTGAGCTGAGTATATTAGCTCTCAGAAAACATAGCTTTAAAATCCAGATTTGTTCCAGTTTCAATCCCTCCAATTAAATCAACAATTATGAATAAAAATGATAAAATGCTGAACTAGGTTCACATGAAGCGGCAATACATTCAAGCAACTCAGAACATTCATCTTCTCTGACTCGATTATCAATAATATGCACAGTCCAAGCTTCCTGTTAACACCTTCAATAATTAACCTTAATCTTAATTAACCTTAATCTAGTCTGGGTTTCTTACTGTGTCTTCTGCTGATTGAAAAAAAATTATATATATACATAATTTGGGGTTTTTTGCTGTTAAGATCACTTTTATTAGGTCACACAGCAAACCTGGATCCTGACAACCGGTCCAAGATTCTCAGCTAATCTGGTATCTGAGCTTTATCGAGTTTTCCATTACATATCTCCTATACTACTTCCTGCCTTAAGGCCAGTATTACTCCCAAATTTCTCATTGTGAGTCTTCCATCTTCACCTAACTTCTGCTATCAATCAATGACTTTCATCAGGTTGCATACCAGATCAATTAAATACAGCCTGTTAAAAAAAACTCCCTAAATTTCACTGTGTTAAAGAATTACAGGCCATTGATTTGTAAAATCCCCAAGGAAGCTGTGGCTCATCAGCTACTTGTAATAATGATTTTTTTTTTTTAAATTAACATGAATAATCCTCACAGCAAAAATCACCCTTAAATAGAGTCATGAGTTGGAGCACAAAGTTTATCTAAGTAATAAAAATGCACCTTCTTTTGTGGGAGGGTTACTTACACTGTTGATTCAACAGAGGAACAGCTGTGTGCAGTCTGTGCCCCGTCTTACAGTGTCCGGCCACAGAGATGAATTCAATAAGATGAAAAAGGCGGAATATGTAGTAAACAAAGGACAGCTTTATTAAGGCCTTTAATGAAAATGTGTGTAAAATGAGGCCACTGTTTGATAATGATAATCAGTTTGATGACAGTTGATCTTTGTGACTCATAGAACTTAATGTACATTTTATCAACAATCCTGTATAAAGACAGTGAAAACAAGGAGATACAAAACAGAAGTATGAGAAAGCAGATGTCTTCAGGCACACTCTGTTCACTGGGACTAGACCTGCTCTTGAAGCAAAAAGAAGGCGCTGTGCATCTTTATACATTATAAAACTTTTTTCTCTTGAGCTTTTTCCAGTGTTGGTGCAGGACCATGGTGTCTGATGAGATCCAGGTCACATTTCAGTTTGAGAACAGACTATAACAGTAAAAAAAATTATGGTAAAATGCAAAGAAATCAAGGACAGAATCCCAGGCTACATTTGTGACTCATTGGTGGTTATTGTAAGGTGCAACTGGTTCCAGATTGGGCACTTGGTCTGTTTTGGTGGAAGGAATGTGATATTTAAGATGCCATATTTCAGCAGCTCAGGTTGGGTTACTGAAGACTTTACAGATTTGTTGATGCAAAGGTAACATTCTTTACAGTCTGTATTTTCAGAATAAAAATATGACTGTGATGTCACATGATGCCACAACTCAGCGGCTCAGGTTGGTTTAAAGTTTTTCAAATTGATAGCTTCGGTGCAGCTACTAAAATTCTTGGATGAGTTTGAATTTCAGTGACTTTGATCTCAAGGTCAGAGGTAACATTTTCTGAAAATGTCATGAATGCTGTGACTCAAGAACAAGAAACTTATATGTGATTACTCATGAAAGTGGCCACTTTCTCATTACTTTCATACATTGTTTTAGGAAGTATCCAAAACATACAAGTTTCATTATATAATTTTTCAAAGGATCTTATATCTGTTTTCACTCTTATATGCTTTTCATACAAGTTTCACACAAGACAGATACAAACTTTATAAGATTTATATATATCTGTTCCATATGGGAGGATTCTGAAATTGATAAAATCATGTCTCTAGTAGGATTTTTTTGTGAACTGTGGGGTATTTTTGTTGTAGCATTAAGCATAGAAACTGATTTGTCTGCCTAAAAGCTAAATCAGAAGTACCAAAGAAGATTAAGGATTTAATTAAATTTTGCCCTGTCTGTCTAATTACGTTTGACAATCATTTATGGTAAATAAGACCATATCTGCATGTCTTTGTACAATCACAATCAAACGGGTGTACAGGTGTTCCTAATAAACTGCTCCTCTAGTGTGTGACATTCTCACAACAAGGGGTTGTTTCCATGGTAACACTTACCCTCAGACTGACTCAGTTTCCCATCAATGACCTGACCCTGCTCCCTGATGCTCACCTGTTCGTCTCCACTTCTCCAGAATCAAATGTAAAAATTTTGGTTTTATATTTTTATGCTGGTGATTCTACTGAATTTAAATGTCCAGGTAACTGAAACCCTCTGAGGAAGTTGCTGTGTAAAAGTATTGTCCTGATTCATAATAATGTAACAATAAAGAGTCTGCAAAGCATTGAAGCAGTCACTTGATAATTTATGAATCACTGTCTTCTGGTCATACTGGGCAGCTTTAAGTGTGAATGTGTGTATTTATGTATGATTAAACAGCTCCACTGTAAAATAAATACATAAATAAGAATCTTATTGAAGCAAACGTCAAAAAGTCGTCTCTTTGAAGTCACTCAGAGCTCACTGTAAGTCATCAGTCTCATCTCAGAGACAAGCACAGAGCTCATCACTGAGCTACCTGTGGTAATGACTTCTGTCCCACTCAGCCCCATCTTGGTTCAGTCGTTTTCAGCTGTTTATTTATTTCTCATCTTCAGTTCAAGTCTGGGATGACAGTGTTTCTTTTCTCTGTTAAAAAGTAACTGTTTTGTGATGCAGCGAGCAGACTGTTACGTATTCAGGGCCAGACAAATTACCTCTAATCATTTGCATTTTCAAGCCATTTGAGGTCTGTTGCATAAAAGTCTTCAAATATTTGTGGGAAATATTGTTTAGAGATTTATATTGTTGTCAGTATCCAGCGCTTTTATTTACATGACATTTAAAAGAAGAGCCATTTTTCAGCTTTGTTTTCATTTCACTGCATCATATTTGAATATCTGCAATACTCTGTCAAGTGGAACAGACTTTTTTTATGAAATTTTGAGTCATTTTTTCACAGTGAAACTTAATAAAGATGTATTCTGGTATCTGAGCGCTGCATATTTTGATGACCCCAGGTGATGGGTGTCTTTGTTTTGTTTTTTGTGCTGTGCTTCGTTCTGCAGGAGCTGATTAAAGAAGCTTGCTGCTTGAGGTACAGCTAAGCCCAGTGAGTTTAACTATAAAAGCTCCCTCTTTCCTGCAGCAGATCCTTCCCTTGCTCTCTGGTTATCCTTTCCTCACTGCTATTGTTTGGTTTGGACACCAGCTTCCTAGACTACACTGGCTCAGCTACAACATGTGTTTTTGATTCTTACTGACCTTGTCACATGCTCATGCACGTTTTACACTACTGACTTGCTGACATACACATTCACCTTAATTATGTTCTGTAAATAAATCATCCTTTGCTACCTTTAGTTACTTTAGTTACAACCTCATCCAGTCTCACTCTGTTTCATTGGACCCTGTTTTATTTGCAGGTGGAAGGACCCAGTGCAATCGAGGAAAGGCTCTAATCCTTCTGGAAAGTGCTACTTTCCAGAAGGATTAGAGCCTTTCCTCGATTGGATTAGGGGACAATCGTGCCTCAAGAGTTGGGAGTTCGCCTTGTAATCGGAAGGTTGCCGGTTCGAGCCCCGGCTCAGACAGTCTCGGTCGTTGTGTCCTTGGGCAAGACGCTTCACCTACCGCCTACTGGTGTGGGCCAGAAGGGCCGATGGTGCAATATGGCAGCCTCGCTTCTGTCAGTCTGTCCCAGGGCAGCTGTGGCTACAACTGTAGCTTGCCTCCACCAGTGTGTGAATGTGAGAGTGGATGACTGGGTGTGTAAAGTGCTTTGGGGTCCCTAGGGGGGACTAGTAAAAGCGCTATACAAATACAGGCCATTTACCATTTACTAAGGAATATCACCAGCATCTTTTAACTGTCATTTTAATGATCAACTGTAAGTGAATGCTTTATTTGTACAAGTGTATTGAGTATTTTGCAATAGCAGAAATCACACCTAAACAGAGTCAAGAGTTGGTTGGCTGTAAGGTGAGGAGGACAGTATGTGTCTGGCCCCTCCTCAGACTCCTGCGCTGGTTATCAAACCAACAACATTTTCTTCTGCCTGAGTGACAGAAATCACCCAGAGCTGTTTGTGAAGAGGATCTGTATTTGTTCAATTATGGACTCTTCTGGGGAAAAAACAGGAAAATGCACCGAGGCAGTGAAAGAGGATTTAAAGGAAAGTGCAGCGGCTGCTTGCGCACAGAGCTCCCGAGGCTGTTGCCACATATGTGTCCCTCGGTTTATTCCGTCAGTTTACCGCAATGAGCTTGTGCAACTTTCCAAACTGGCGGGACCAGTGGTAAGACTGTGTGTAAATTTGAAGCTCATTTGAAGTTTGTCACACTCTCTGTCTGTTGTTACTGACAGGAAGAACGGATTTACTGCAGAAGATGCACCATGTGTCAATAAACTGTAATTTGATTTAAACGTGGGACCTGGACCCTGGTTTAGTGTCTTATTAATAAATACATTAAATGTTATTTATGTTATTATGAAGTCCTGTTTCTGAATGGACCTCAAGCACTGTAGGACTGTACTGTGTATATCTGTTTAGTATTACAATCATTTAATTTTAAATTAAGTTACTATGTTTTTATGCATTATTTGGATTACATATCAAATTCCTCCATGTTTTCTTTAAGCCCCCAAAACATACAGTTGCTTATGTTTTTACTATTTTTACTCTTTATCGTGCTGCTGTAACACAGAAATTTCCCTTGTGGGAAGTATCCATCTATTTTAGATATTTGCTATATGTTTAACATCCTTAAGTTACTAAATGTTTTAACCATATTCATTACTTATTTATTTTTCCTTTAAATGTATTTCTAAATACAACACAGAGTCAGTATCTCCTCTTCTGTACTTCAGGTCATTTCCCAGTTCATGATTTTCATGATCAGTTTTGTCAGCACGGTGTTCTGTGGTCACCTGGGGAAAACTGAACTTGCAGCTGTAGCATTATCAATTGCGGTGAGCAGACATTTCAGTGCCTTTGTTGTTGAACTGTAAATATGCATCATTTTTTACCCCACTTTATGCATGTTGTGTTTCGTTTGCAGGTAGTTAACGTCACTGGTATTTCCATTGGCACCGGTTTGTCGTTAACTTGTGATACCCTCATATCTCAGGTAGGGTCCTCACCAGAGCTTTCACTTTATTTGTGTAACCAAGACAAACACAAGCAGCACAGCTGGGTTCCCAGGTTCTCCTGGAATGCCCTTTTAAACATCTCAACACTGAGCTTTTGTGTGGAGTTATTTTTCTATGATCAGTCATACCCTTGTTCTTTGGTGGGATTCTGTGTTTTCCAACTTTTCTCACCCGAGCGTCTGTCTACCTGTTTCACGCAGACGTATGGGAGCGGTAACTTGAAGCGTGTGGGTGTGATTCTCCAGAGGGGAGTTCTGATTCTGCTGCTGGCCTGTTTCCCTTGTTGGGCCATCCTCATCAACACTGAGCCTCTCCTACTTGCTGTCAAACAGAGTCCAGAGGTCGCCAGGTGAGCCGTTATTAACCAGCAATAACAGACGCGTGGATGTTGTGACACTGCTGAGCATGTGTCTGTCTCACTCTTAAAGAAACACAAATTATGCAAAATGCCAAGCACTGTTAGTTTGTGCAAAAAATACAGTGGTCCCTCGCTATACTGCGGTTCACCTTCCGCTGTTTCGCGGATTTTTTTTGTGCAATTTTGCATGTTTTTTTGTTTTTGTTGTTTTTGCATTCAGCTTGTCAAATTTACATAAATCTTCGATCACTAGCAGTGTGACTCTGAAGTGCTGTACTGTATGTTTGTAAGTTTTCTCCCCAACAAAAACAACAATGTCGACGAAACGTTTTGCACCGTCAAAGGCACCTGCGGTAGCACCCAAGATACAGAGAAAGATGCTAACCATCTCACAAATGATGAACTTCTGGACATGCTAAAGGAAGGTAGAAGTTACCGTATTTTTCAGACCATGAGGCATTAGGCAAAACAAAACAGTCAGATGAGTTAAACTTTACTCAACTCATTGTTCTTGCTTCCTCTACTTCCGTACCATTGATTCATTAATGTTTAATTCTCTGGCAGCTGCTCTATTCCCATGTTCTGGACATAAAAACAGGGTTTGATCTTTGGCTTCATTCTTTAATACTGGACTTATTTTTCTACGAAGGTTTGAACTTTGAGAGTCTTTAAACAGGAGAGAAAAGTGTGAAAATGTTCATGCCTGTCAGAGAAAAGTGTATAAAGTGTGTAGTGACGGTCAAAGGAGCTTGCAAAGAAAAGCGTCTGGACTTCTTTAAGTTGCTTGAAGACGTTTCACCTCTCATCCGAGAAGCTTCTTCAGTTCTAAGGTCAAATGGTGGAGAGTCCCAGATATAAACCTAGTGGGAGTGACCCCCCACAGAGGGACAAATGGACCCCCTGATGATCCTCTAATCGCCTGAGCCAAGGTGTGAAACTGGGTGTGGGTCCCAATCAGCCAGAGTTTCGGGTGTGTTCATTGTGAAACCTGGCCCCACCTTATCATGAGATCAGATGGCCCAGGATGTGAGTGGGCGTTAAGGCGTCTGGGAAGGGATCTCAAAACTGGATTATAGATGGCAGAGAGTTGGTGTCGTAAACCACCGCCTCTGTTCAAAGATGGTCGCTCACAGTGGACATAGATGGCTTCTTTCACTCCTCTTTCAAACCATCTGTCCTCTCTGTCCAAAATGTGAACATTGGCATCCTCGAAAGAGTGACCTTTATCCTTAAGATGCAGATGGACTGCTGAGTCTTGTCCTGTGGAGGTGGCTCTTCTATGTTGGGCCATGTGCTTGTGAAGTGGCTGTTTGGTCTCTCCAATGTAGAGGTCCGGGCATTCCTCGCTGCACTGTACAGCATACACCACATTGTTAAGTCTGTGTTTTGGCGTTTTGTCTTTCGGGTGTAGTGACGGGTTTTACAGCCTAAAAACAACATATTTTTAGAACGTAACTCGAGATAAACGGGGCGTCACTGTAATGCAGTAATCGAAAAGCACATTATACCAAACCTCATAGTTTGACCACCTGTAGCAGCAGAAACCAGCTGTTAACTCAGCAGTGGAAATGCATGGAAATGTGTGCTGGTTCTTACTGCACACATTTCTGACCTGTGAGAAATAATTCAGTAGATCCTTGTACAGGTTTACAACCCAACACTACTTAAACTACGTGCTGTGTTTGTTTGTTTGTCACATTGTTACTGTGCCTCGACTTTTGGATAAAGCTGCCAAAAACTTTTAAAAAGATAATTAACATCCTGAGACCTGAGATGCATTTTCAGTTTGTCTAAACTATTTGGGATTAGTTGGACCCAATAAGTATAAAAAGGAAGCACCATCATTGGTGGGCTTATTTTACAGCATAACGCATTAAAGTCACCATTGTGTAACACAGCATGAAACAGTAATGAGCAGAATGAAGTAAAAGAACAAGCAAAATGGTATGTAACCTTAATTTATGTGCAGTCAAATGTCACCATCATCAGTTTCACAGGCTTACTTTGTTTTTTTCATTTCCACATGAAGCCTCTCCCAGCTCTATGTGAAGATCTTCATGCCCGCTCTGCCGGTGAGTTTGACAGGATTTGATGCAGATTTGGAAGGTGTTCAATATTTAAACAAAAGGCAGGTTGATATCCAGAACTGAGGGTCTTAACAACAGATGCAGTGCTATTTAAGGTCCAGAGAGCATCGGTCACACCTCAGCACACGGGGTGGTAGAGAAAGTCATCTACTAAGGGTTAGGGTTGGTAGTTTGACCCCTTAGCTGCTCCAGTCTGCATGCCAAATGTCCTTCAGCAAAATAGTAACCCCAAGTTACTCTCCAATGAATCCATTGGAGTGTGAATGTTAGATAAAAAGCACTTAGGCATGCTCACCTAACCCTAAATGTGATCTCCTCCCTTTTGTCCCCAGATCTATGGGCGTTGGTGCTTAAGAGGTTAAGGATCGGATGGGTGAATGAGACGTGTTGTAAAAAGCACTTTGAGTGCTCTGAGAGATTAGAAAAGCACTTTATAAGAATCAGTGCATTCACCATTTATCATGTTTGACTTGGTATTCGTTTCTAAGGAGATTTACATTGTTCAACAATACTGCTCAATCTCTAACTTTGATGCCCCCCTCTCATTTATTCTTGGTTGAACTTTGAGGCATAAACTATCAGACAAAGTGGATGAGGGTTAATAACTTGCAGTGGAGGTGTATCAATGTATAGAATCTGTGATAAATTTTATTTCTTTGATTTATTACTAATTATTTGACATGTTCATTGTTTTCATTGAAAAGTGTTAGCGTGCTGATTAACCTAAGATCCGATCATGTGCTCAAATTTGTTCTTCACTTCTGTCAACGAGTCTCTTATAATTTAATGTTTGCTTTCTTCAGGCTGCTTTCATGTACCATCTGCAGGGGAGGTATCTTCAAAATCAGGTGCAGTGCTTTTGAAGCATGCATATGGCCTACATTACTTTAATAACTGGTTGTGCTTTTAAAACATTAACATGAATATTATTTGTATTTTGTGCTTTGGTGTACAGGGAATTATATGGCCTCAAGTTATAACTGGAGCAATCGGAAATGTCTTTAATGCAATATTCAACTACGTCCTCATCCATCAGCTGGATTTGGGTGTTGCGTAAGTTTTCCTCCATCATTCCTGTGACATCATTGGTTGAATGTAACCTCAATTCAGACAGTGAAAACTATATGTGTTTTAAATTCTTTATCTAAATTCATGATCCAGTGAATTTAGGTGAATTACCACAGGTTTTATGGTGTGTTGGTAAATTTGCAGACCCAAATGCAGGACACAAGGATCAAGTGTCCTGCATTTGATCCTTGTGCACTTGAAAGACGAGAATACACTGACCTTCAAAGTAAAACAGGAAACACACTGGGGACAGAACTAAACCTAAGAACTAGACACAGGGGCACTAGAACAAAACCTCAAACTAGAATACAAAAACAGAACTCAGAACACTATAAGTCATATACAAAGATGAAATCATAGAATAACACCAATAATACACAAAACACTGGGTCACCGATTCAGGACCATAACATCATGAGCTTGAGCACAGTTATATTTTTAGTGTCAGTGTCAAGGTATCAGACAACATGCTTTCAAACTGTGGCAGATGTGTGCGGATATAATTTCGTAGTTGAAGATATCTTAAAAAATGGCTGCACAGTATTCCAAATCTATCTTTTAATTGTTGAAATGACATGAAGGTATCGTTTGATTACACGTCTTTTAATTTATGAATTCCCAGTTCATGCCACACGTTGAAAGCTCTGTCTGCACATGATGGAAGGAAAGAAGGGTTAGATGTAACAGGCATACACATTGATAGTGGTTTTAGTTTAAAGTGCTTAATTTGAAGCAAACAACATATATCTAATAAGAAATCAATACCAGGCTTCGGAAGACTATAAAACCCATAAGCACAAGGAAATACAAAGCGGCACTATTGAAAAAAATATATAACAAAATGTAGAACATGAATATAAATTGTTTCTCAAAACCCTAAAAGGAATAATGAACTGACAGCAAATTCGAAACCCATCCATCCATCCTCTTTCACTTGTCTTTTTACAGGGTTACAGGGGGCTGAAGCCTATCTTAGGGTGCTTGAATTGTCACCTGTAAATATGGAGCTTTAATTGTTCATTTTTTTTCCTTCTTTTAATCTCTAATGTTTTTATCTTCTAGTGGATCAGCAGCAGCCAGTGCCATCTCCCAGTATTTGTTGGCATCGGTCTTATTCATTTACATGTACTTGAGAGGTCTGCATAAGGCCACATGGGCAGGTCAGTCATTTTACTTCTACGGGGATCCTGAACTTGCTGAAATGTTTTGATTTTGCTGTGTCGTTCGCCTTATTTCCAATTCTGTCCAATAATTTCATCATGTTGCATCATTTAGCTTTTGGCCTTTCATACCTGAAGTTTTCCATTATAAATACTCAAGAGTTTAATGTTTGACAAAAATAGTCATACTCTATAACTGTGGAGTGCAGTGTGGAGGAGAGGTTATTCTTTAACACTGCGGTTCCAATAAACTTCAAGACATCTCTGTAATAGTTAAAATGTGTGGGATTTAAATATTGTTTAATAGTAATGTCTGATTTATGCAAATTCCTCATTAGTAATTGTTGATCCGAGGCCCATAATTAAATCCTAATTTAAACCAATAGTTTGAAAGATGACATATAGAGTCACTCTGACCCACACAGGTTGGTCCCTCGACTGTCTCCAGGAGTGGGGACCCTTTGCCCAGCTGGCTGTCCCCAGCATGCTCATGCTCTGTCTGGAGTGGTGGGTGGTTGAAGTGGGAGGATTCCTGGCTGGTGTGATCAGTGAGGCCGAGTTGGGAGCTCACTTGATATCCTACGAATTGACTATTACTGCATACATGGTAACTCCAGTGAACCTTTTGACTTTTGCTTATATGTTGACCTGGCATTACATTTTGGAATTACACATGGATTTTCCCACAGATTGCATTAGGGTTTGCTAGTGCTGCCAGCGTACGGGTTGGGAATGCACTTGGTGCAGGAAACATCGAGCAGGCCAAGCTGTCGTGCAAAGTCCCCATCATCTGTGCATGTAAGAACCAACACACTAAGTATTATTTTCTGTGTTAAATGAACAGAAAAAAGTAAAAATACTGCTAACTGAGCAGTAGCAGGATTAGTTTTATTTCATGCTGAGCTTCATGACATAAGAATATGAAGTAGAATACATTTCATAAAATATAAATGAACTATTCATCCATCCAGCCACCTTCCAACAGCGTAGCCAATTAATGGTAGATTAATGGTGGACTCTCGGTGCCAAGTCCATCACAGGGCCAACTCAGAGATAGACAACCATTCATATTCATGTATACAGTGACATTAGAGCCATTAACTAACCTAACATGCATTTCTTTGGTCTGGGAGGAAGCTCGAGTACCTCCACAACCCATACAGGGTCCATGGCTGTTCCGTCAACATAAGGGGTCACCACAGGGGGTAGCTTTGCATGATTGATCTGGTCAGTTTTATGCCGGATACCCATCCTGACACAGTCCCAAAGGGGATTTGTCTCCAGTTGAAATTGAACCAGTGACCTTTTGCCTATTATGGACCAGTTTGTTTACCCGACCCTGGGCAAAATAGTATGTAGTTGATATGCATTAGAACACATGTTGAATAAGCTGCAATAAATTTGTGGACTATGTATACTTCATGTAATTTTGAGCCTGCAGTTAAACTTGAACCCTTTAAATCCCAGCGTATCGTATTTGATACATGCCTTTTTGTGATCATCAGCGTGACTCCCCCCACCCCACCCCACCCCCACCCCCACCCCCAAATGATTTAAATTGCATGACACATTTTAATGACTAAATTGCAAAAATATCGCTCATGTAGCGAATGTGATTCAAGTTAAACCTCATATATGCTGATTAAAATTTGATATATATTTTGTCTAAAGGTTCAACAAACAGTCCATTATCAAAAAATGAAAGATTTCTGGCAGTTATATCATGGTTTAGGTTCTAAAGTGTTAACATAAATTCAACTTGTGCCTTGTTTTTGAACTTGTTTTTGTTGTTAAACGTGAATGCTGTACAATCGTTCCACTTTGGAAAAAGAAGAATAATGAAATTACAGTACATTTTTCACCACAACTGTATATAAACTGTAAAGTTGGCCACCTTTTGTGTTCCTTGTTTTTCTGTTTTTCCTGTGATTTTAATATTTAAATGGTTTTTCTCATTGCAGTCATAATTGCATGCTTTGTTAGTATTATTTTTGGCGTCTCAAAGGATGTCATCGGATACATTTTCACATCAGAGCCGTAAGTATCTTTGACCTTTAACCTTGATTCCAGGAAGAGTTCCTCTCTTATTTATTGCTTCTTTAATTACATGTATTATTCAAGATAATCATTTATACCTTTGTCTCAGAAACATGTTGCCCTTGTTATCTAGTTTCAGTTAAATAAAACAAGCCTATGTGAGTGCTATAATCAAATAAATTCATTGTTCATGTGTCCCATTGTATTAAAGGTCTTGTTTTCATTAAGTTTCATATGTTCTTGATGTTTGACAATATTTGTGAATGTACAGACAGATGTACTGAAGCTGAAACTGCACACTGTTTTTAGCGATATTTTGCAGAGGGTTTCTGACCTCATGTTGATATTTAGTTTCTTGCATCTTGGTGATGCAATTGCGGTAAGAAATGATTTTACAGCAGTGATCGACATTTCAGGCTAATACTGTCAAATATAAAATGTGATTCAGAGAAATCTGTGTTTGTGTTTACAGGCTGTGGCTGGAGGAGTTGTCAGAGGTGTAGGAAAACAGTCGGTTGGTGCTCTGTGTAACCTGGTCGGGTACTACTTTATTGGCTTACCCACTGGTGTGTCTCTGATGTTTGCAGCCAAAATGGGGGTTGTAGGTGAGGACTGAGTGAGGGTGGCATTCCAAGCTCCTTTGTTTTCCTTCATAGCATTGGATTGATATTACATATTCAAGACAAGAGAAAATAAGATATGTCGTACTTTATTTATCCCTAATTTTATATAATAACAATAAATTGTATTATATTCATTAAATAAAACCAGACATTTTGGTAGTTTTCTAGTCGAGTATGTTATAATAATGCCAGGGAGGAAAGACATCAGCAGTGACTTTGGGGAAGCATTTGTTGCTGTCCATGAAGGTTTGACAGAAGAAAGTCTCTTCTGTCCAAAAGGAACATTGCAGCATGGATTAGGTTTGCAATATTGCATCTGATGGAACAATGTTCTTTGGACAGACAAGAATAAAGAGGAGATGTTGGGCCATGCAAACTTCAATGCACACCACAATCATCATCCCAAGCAAAGCACCTCGCTTTTGCGTTTTTTGCTTAGTTTTTGCTAAAGACGTATCATAATATGCCATATGCTGCTATTCATCTACACATCTACATCTCTATATATAACCAGTGTATGTTGTGTCTTTCAGGTTACAGGTGGATTGTGACAAATGCGTGCTGCGGTCAGAAATTAAATGTACTTCCTGCTTGTCAGAAAAACTATTAAAACTCTTCTTCTTCTGTTTTTTCTGCTGTAGGATTTTGGACAGGCCTTACGGTTTGCGTGTTCGTGCAGTCGATCTTTTTCATCACATTTTTGTGCAAACTCGATTGGAAGAAGGCTGCTGAAGAGGTGCGCACCTGCATCTATTGACAGTTTATCACACTTTCATTCATCAAAGCATGTCATTAACTGTTGTGTCTGATCAGGCTGAAGTGCGAGCGGGAGTCCGCATCAAAGAAGAAAAAGACACGATCAAGATGGAAAATAGAGGTGAGTGGGCAAACTGGCTGAAACATCCCATTATTACAGTGTCTTATTCATGCTTCTCTTTCCAAACCCTAGACTCTAATCACATCCAGACCCCAATCAGTACTATTGGATCCAGTGGTGAGAGCGCCGGGGTGGACCACGTATACATGGAGGTGCAAATACCAGAAGAGAGTCAAACCACCAACACCACTACAGTGGGAGATGTTCTGTCAGTGTCACAGCTGGTGGTACGGCGCGGCCTGGCGATACTCATCATGATCCTCATCCTCGCTGCTGGAGTCATTACCAACACCGTCCTCACCCCGCTGCTCAAATGATGTAATGGGTTAAATGTATTGTTGTGTATATACATACACGCTTAGTATATTTAGTGTGCACACAAAAAATACCACTTTTTATTTTATTTGCCTTAATCAACATATCACAAAAAGATATCAGAAATACCAAAAGAAAATTAAAGAATTTAATTTAATTTAGCTATCTCTTCTGTCTAATTATGTGTCTTTTACAGAAACTATGTATGAAATAGCATATTTATTTATAGCTAATAGCTAATAATAGTTGTATTTCTGATTTCATATAAGGTTTTTTTTAGTGTTTATTAATGTTTGCTAATTATATGTTTTAAATAAAGATTAGATTCACATTCAGATACATATCAGCCCATGCAATAAATGACATCTTCTCAGACAGTTTCATCAAACAACCAGTACTGTTAATTATCAATGTCCATAATAGCAAATCTAGCACAGTTCGACTCTGAAGTCAGGTTTTTTACCCATCTAATCTTGGTGGCTGTTTCTGTGCCTCCCTCTGCTAACCCCACATGTGACATTATCCACTCTGTCATAGCCAATTCAATTCAAATTCTTTATTGTCCCACAGGGTGAAATTAGTTTAGCAGGCAAAATAAAAGTAAACAAAACAATAATATAAAATAATAATGACAATAATAGTAATAGAAAGTCACAGGATGGTCATTTGCCACTAAGGAGATGGGATGCAGTAGGGATAAAAGAAACCTGGAGTCTTGGTCTTCCTCAAAGGTACTCAAAAACGGCGCCCAGAAGGCAACAACTCAAACTCACTGTGAAGTGGATGGTTCAAACAATTAACAATAGAATGAGCCTTCCTAAGCACATTTTTGTTGTAAATAGCCAAAAGTCCATCTTGCCAGCGCCCTGAAATTTTGCTAGTAGTTTTTACCAGAAGTCCCAACTTATTCTTATTCTTCACCGTCAGGTTACCAAACCAGGCAGCGAAAAGACATCATTCAATAAAACTACAAAACAAAGACAACATCTCAGATGAGACATTAAAGGATCTCATTTTCCTTAAAAAGAACAGTCTTTGTTGGACTTTTTTAGTAGTGGCATCAGATTGAAATGCAGCTGGATGCCTCTCTTGTGTCCTGGATTGTTGACTTCCGCCACTGCACAGAGACCTGTCATCTTCAGAGGTTTTCTGATGACTCTGCAGTGGTTGGATGGATCAGTGTGGGTGTTGAGAGAGAGTACCGGGCTGTGGTTGACTCCTTTGTCAATGCGGTGCGAGCACAATCATCTTGATTGTGGACTTTAGGACGAGCAGGAAACCTGCGTCCCCTGCTTCAATCCATTGCCACATACCTAGTTTCAGGGACTAAGATGCACGGAGAGGAATGGAGAATTTGCAATTTGAGAAATGAGACCCAATAAAAACGAAATGTGGAAGACGATAACAAATCACAGCACAGTGTGGTGCATGACCTTAATCATGTGATTTAGCATGTTTTGGTTTTCTTGTTAGCTCACAAAATTTGTGGCATTGTTCCTCCTGATGACTGTTCAAATAAGCCAACTGACCTGACATAACTCATTTCCAAGACAAGCGGCTTGTCCACTCGAGGGCTGGCAGCAGGAGTCAGCCAACATCCTGTTATACAAGAGGCATATAAGAGGTCAATAGAGTCACATCCTGAGCTGAGGTCCAGAAAGACAGTGGGAGTTTGAGTGCATAATACAGTTTTTACTATAAGTTTTTTGTGTTCACAGAAGGAAAGAAATCCAGGGAAGCCTTGAAATATTGTCATTTACCCTCTCTAACACTCTGTTTCTGATGAAGCTGGACGATAGAGATGATCAAGAAAACTAGTGGTGAAGCAACAAAGACAAGTGATACACCCTTGTGGTTAGGAGCGGAGCAAGATCCCCTTTCCCCTTAGTGGGGTGGGTCACCTTCTCCACAGAGCCTGATTCCACCCAGTAATTCTTCCTCCCAGAGGAAGCATTTGCTTTGCAGGACCTCACGGTCACTGAACAGAAAGACTCCCAATTAGGAGTTTTCAGAGCAGAGACACTGTAAACGCCCCTAGAGAGTTATTGCATGTTTGGTTGTGTAATTAGTTATAGCAATGACAAAGGACTAGAAAACAAAACATTTAGTTTTATAGACTTTATGACACTTTTTGCTGCCACTGAAGATGGAAAAATAAAAACCTAATTCAAGCAAAAAAAGTGCTCTTACTCAAGTACAGCAGACTGAGGAGGAACACCACCTGGTGAGTAAAACAGCTGTGATCTGTCCTTTTTGAAATTCAGTTTTGGGTAGGAAGTCAGTCACAATGTGGATTAATCTGCTGTTTACCACCCGTCTGTCTGTTAAAGATTATTTAAGATAATTTTATAGTTTGAATAAGCTTTGTAGCAGTACTCTGTTTATGTTATTCACTGCTTTCTCGTCTGTCCAGATAAACCAATATCTGACACTAGAGTACAGTCTGATCTATATACTTACCCAAACATCACCATTTATCTTTGCAAAACCATATTCACTGTTTACTGACACCATACAATAAGCATTGGTGCTTTAGAACACCCTGCTGGTTATATGTGGTTATGTCACTTGTTCTGTGGTTTTACAGTTGAAGTAATGGAACGTTTTCTGGGTTATTACTTAATTAAGGAATAATTAAACCTGACAGGCAGTTTAAGGCGAATACTGTCAAGCATCCACTCCTTGCACCCACCACATCATCCCTGCTCTAACGTTTTTTTCTCCCTCATGCTTGTCATACTTGCAGATGTCAGTAAAGTTGTATCGGCTACATGTGTCAGCATCTAGCTACAGAAGCACAGCTGGTAACTTTTTTTGAAGTTTCGAGTAATTTTGGATACAGTGTTTCAAACACTGTATCCAAACACAAGAGAAAAGTCACACATGAAGTTTGTTACACAAAATGCATATCGTACTCCAGCACCAGAGTAAAGGGTGTGAGAGCACTGGCTTGAAATAGAGGAAATAGGTGAATTAAAACTGAAAGTTTTATCTGTCATGTTTTAGAGAGTAAAAATGGACTGAAATGCAGAGACATTGGAAGCAGAGTATAATGAGCCATTTATTTTGGCCGATTAAATAGAGTTAGCAATGTGGTGCACAAAGTTCAGGATTTCAGAGGGAGGGTATGCACTTTTCATGCTTGCAGTTTCTGCATCTGAGCCTGAATCAAGATTTTTACCAATGACAGACCTCTCAGCTGGAGTCAAGGAGCAGTACTTCAGCATTACTACAGCTGTCTTGGCTCTCTGCACAGACTCACTGTGTCCTTTTTAAATATAATGGCATGCCACTGTGGTCGAGGTTCTGCAGCAGGTAATCTGAGATCATTGTACATCAAGTGCATCATTTAAAAGCAGTAAGGCTGCAGCTTCATGGATTATTGCAGTTCACTAATTTTCTTGTTATTGCTAATCTGGTTAATGCAGATTAATGGCTTCACAAGTTAACACACATAGCAAACAAGGTGATTGTTGCAAGCATCAGTTTATGCTGCCTCCAAAGACTTAGCCGGCTTTCCTAGACTGAAAGAGAGAGGGCTGTTCAGAGACTCCGTATTAATTACGATAGTGCCAGTGATCCATGCAGATGTTGTTACTGTCTGTATATGGTTTCCTCATGCATTCAGCAGACTAAACTTTGCCCTCAGTAATATTTGGACAACTACAGTGGGATGCAAAAGTTTGGGCAACCTTGTTAATAGTCATTGTTTCCCTGTATAAATCGTTGGCTGTTACAATAAAAAATGTCAGTTAAATGTATCATATAGGAGACACACACAGTGATATTTGAGAAGTGAAATGAAGTTTATTGGGTTTACAGAAAGTGCAATAATTGTTCAAACAAAATCAGGCAGGTGCATAAATTTGGGCACTACAAAAAATAAATGAAATCAATATTTAGTAGATCCACCTTTAGCAGAAATAACAGCCTCTAAACGCTTCCTGTAGGTTCCAATGAGAGTCTGGATTGTGGTTGAAGGCATTTTGGACCATTCCTCTTTACAAAACATCTCTAGTTCATTCAGGTTTGATGGCTTCAGAGCATGGACAGCGCTCTTTAACTCACACCACAGATTTTCAATAATATTCAGGTCTGGGGACTGAGATGGCTATGTTGTACTTGTTCCTCTGCATGAATGCCTTAGTGGATTTTTTGATTTTGTTGTCTTGTTGAAAGATCCAGCCCCGGTGCAGCTTCCGCTTTGCACAGTGACTCCATCAGCTGGAAGATGATGTTGTAGGTCTTTGGTGCCGGTCTGTGGGTTGACTGACTGTTCTCACCATTCGTCGCTTCTGTCTATCCGAGATTTTTCTTGGCCTGACACTTCGAACCTTAACTTGAACTGAGCCTGTGGTCTCCCATTTTCTCAACATGTTCCTAACTGTGGAAACAGACAGCTGAAATCTCTGAGACAGCTTTCTGTATCCTTCCCCTAAACCAGACCTTCCCAAAGTGTGGGGCCCGCCCCCTAGGGGGGGCGTAGAGCCATTGCAGGGGGGGGGGGGGGGGGGGGGGGGGCGCAGTATGAAAAGGGGGGGAAAAAAAACAATCCTTCGACACTGCTAGCACGGGCACCCACACAAATGCAAAGCAGGAGATGAAGCATAGCTGAATATGTTTCCAAACCAACTTCATTCTAAGCCAAAGACTAGAAAATATGGTGAGGCATATCTTCCCTTTGGCTTCACCTGCACAAGTGCTGAGGTAGGTCTCCCCTGCAGAATTGGTTTTCCCTTCGTCAGGAGCAACGCTGGGCTGTTTAAATTACGGACAGTATCCCACATTCTTGATTTTTAGTTCACAAACACTTCTTGTAATGACTAACTACTCCTGACATTTTGGAGATGTTAGATCTTTATACAGTAAAGTTACAGTGGGACACAAATAATATCAGGCTGATCCTGCCACGATTTGTTTCCCCGGTTCAAATCATGGACAAACAGTATCCCACAGCTGTTTATTTTTTAAAACCCATTTTGCACAGAGAGGCATTTTTTGAAAAATGTATTGATAGCAATGTTGAATATTATTAAACAGGAGAAAAAAAACAACTACATGTAAAATAATTACACCGTGACGCCTCTGCCTTTGTAAATGGAGGGACAGTAACTGCATGTTTATATGTAAGCATGTAAAACCTGCAGATAGATTAACAGTATTTTGTCTCTGACTATCTGCCATTCTGCAATTCATCTCATGTAAACAATAAAGTGGCGCACAGCGTGACATGAAAAAAGGCACATACCTTTGACGTTGCGTGATGAACTCTGTATTCCTGTCCACACATAAACGCAAAAAAGGAGTTTTAAAAAATCTCCATTTTCGGTGATTCAAAACGCCGTTTACGTGTGGACGAAACAGCTGCGTGTTCAAAAATACCC